AGAAGCGTTTGCTTATGTAAATTCATCTCCGACGGAGAAATCCAAGACGGAGCTTGAAAAATTATGCGATAAGCGCTTCACTCGCTCTCGTTGTCGTGTGCATCTCGATTAGCGTCACCACGAAGACACCATCTACAACACATTTCAAACCATGGTTTGTCCAAAGTGGTTCTCGAAGTATGTACCATATCAAGGCTAAGTATGCAAAACGCAGTTGATGTCAGTGCCGGGTTGGGTGGCGCCAACTTGTCACGGATATGCTTCTGTCCGGGTAGTAAGGTGTGAGGATTGTGGTATGCGTTGCTGAATTACTATCCCCAGGATGTGGATGATGCGTCCATCTCAAACCAGGAGTCGACATTGGGGTATTGTCGTAAGACAGTGCACCGAGGTCACTAAGGAAGGGTGTACTACCCCAGGCTGGTTAACAGAGCAGGGAAAAACCCTCGCTCTTGGTAGTGGGAGGATCTCGTATCAGAATCCTGATGTATTACAACTGCGCTGTAAAAAGTAATTCGATCACCTTGCAAAAACTTATTGCCCATCCAAATGGATATATTTTTTATCAGGCCTCTACTCCATCTTTCTTACTCCATGAGGTAAGGACTTGGAGATACCCCCAAATTTCAAGCACGGTAATACTTCCTCCGGTTTTTTTCTTTTGCACCATCGGCTACATTTCGGCCAATAACCTTTGAACGGTGGCGTCTTATCGGACGCTGATTGGTGCAAAATAAACTTCTACGTCTGCTCGTTTGATAGCCATAGCTTTTGGCGCCAAAAAGCCATTCCTTGGTAGTCATTGCCGGTCTGCAAAATGCTTCCTCACCGACCATTTTCACTTCTCGATCCGCTGCATCCTCAAAACAAGTCCGACGACCGCACAAATGCGCCCACCGAATCTAACCCCCACCCAGCGACAGACTATCGTGTGCTTTCTTCTAGGTCGGAGCGATAACGGTGAAATTTCTGGTGGCGATATTTCGGCCGCTGTGGCCAAATATGGACGGCATCGGAGCACCATCTCACGTCTCTGGGAGCTGCACAAGAAGACGCGAACGGAAGAGAATCGTCTTGGCAACTTAGCCAGTGGTCTGATTGGAAATTGCGGCCGTAAGGCCATTGATACTGACGAGCTGCGCCTGCAGATCCGCAAGATCCCTTTGAGCCGCCGCATGACTATCAAGAGTCTGGCGGCAGCATTGGGCGTCTCCACTAAAGTCGTTCGGCGACTGCTCAAAGAGGGCGCCTTCAGACGCCACTCCAGCAACGTAAAGCCCGCGCTTACGGAAGAGAACCGCCTTGCTCGTGTCCAGTTTGCACTGAGCCACA